GGGTGTGGAACACCATCGAAATGTTAGAGGACCCAATGTTTGAAAGATTACTCCAAGATGAGACGCCTCACTCCCACAGCTGGTGGCCCAAGATGAGACGCCCCACTCCCACAGCTGGTGGCCCACGATGAGACGCCCCACTCCCACAGCTGGTGGCCCAAGATGAGACGCCCCGCTCCCACAGCTGGTGGCCCACGATGAGACGCCCCACTCCCACAGCTGGTGGCCCAAGATGAGACGCCCCGCTCCCACAGCTGGTGGCCCAAGATGAGACGTCCCGCTCCCACAGCTGGTGGCCCAAGATGAGACGCCCCGCTCCCACAGCTGGTGGCTCAAGATGAGACGCCCCGCTCCCACAGCTGGTGGCCCAAGATGAGACGCCCCGCTCCCACAGCTGGTGGCCCAAGATGAGACGCCCCGCTCCCACAGCTGGTGGCCCAAGATGAGACGCCCCGCTCCCACAGCTGGTGGCTCAAGATGAGACGCCCCGCTCCCACAGCTGGTGGCCCAAGATGAGACGCCCCGCTCCCACAGCTGGTGGCCCAAGATGAGACGCCCCGCTCCCACAGCTGGTGGCCCAAGATGAGACGCCCCGCTCCCACAGCTGGTGGCCCAAGATGAGACGCCCCGCTCCCACAGCTGGTGGCCCAAGATGAGACGCCCCGCTCCCACAGCTGGTGGCCCAAGATGAGACGCCCCACTCCCACAGCTGGTGGCCCAAGATGAGACGCCCCGCTCCCACAGCTGGTGGCCCAAGATGAGACGCCCCGCTCCCACAGCTGGTGGCTCAAGATGAGACGCCCCGCTCCCACAGCTGGTGGCCCAAGATGAGACGCCCCGCTCCCACAGCTGGTGGCCCAAGATGAGACGCCCCGCTCCCACAGCTGGTGGCTCAAGATGAGACGCCCCGCTCCCACAGCTGGTGGCCCAAGATGAGACGCCCCGCTCCCACAGCTGGTGGCTCAAGATGAGACGCCCCGCTCCCACAGCTGGTGGCCCACGATGAGACGCCCCGCTCCCACAGCTGGTGGCCCAAGATGAGACGCCCCGCTCCCACAGCTGGTGGCCCAAGAGCCTTGATTCACTAGATGAAAACCCCGCCCCACAGTACATAGTTCCCAGATGAAATACTGACCAGATATCCTCCCCCCATAATTGAAGGAACATGGGATTAAGGACTTGCCCGAAACGCTACTCGTCCTAGTGGCTGTACAAGAATGTAACAACTCTTGTATACATAAATAAACATAAAAATATATATTTGTTTTTCATGGTTTGCCCAACCACTTTGGCTGGACGGTAGAGCGACAGTCTCGCTTCATGCAGTCCCCGACCGTCCAAGTGGTTGGGCACTATTCCTTTCCACGGTCCCATCCCAAATCCTTACCCCTAACCCGTTCCAAGGAATATATAGCTATGGAGGCTTGGCGCTTTTACCTGATAGTGTCTTTTCATGTGGTGAACGCGAGTTCGATTACATCCTTCTAGGGAGCGCTTAAGGGCAGGATTGGCAGTGTCGCTCAGAGTTACATACATACAGAGAACGCTTGAGAGTACGAGCAGAGACTTGATATTTAACACGTTCAAAGATTTCAGTGAGGGAGCAGAGTGGTGTCTGGGACTGGAATTTCTTATTGTCCTAATTACTGATTTTTGTTGCGTAATTAGGGGTCGGAGGTAATTAAGGGTGGTAGATCCCCACAGGTATTATTTAAGAGAGGCGTCTGATATGGAGTGAACCGCAGCTGGTTCCACACACTCGTTTTAAAGCGCCAGGTCCGAAAGCAGGTGTTTGAAGTATTGGAGCAATGTTTGATCCCGCAACATCTGACCAGTGTTGGTATAAAACAGGTGTTTGAATATTGCGTCCCGACCATCTGGTCACCATTTGGTCCGGGAGGCATCTCCCGTCACGCTGGGTGCAGTCGCGCCTCCACAGATCTCCAGTATCATCTATTGATACTGGTGATGGCTCAAAAGGGCCACCACTTACGAGCTATTCATGCCCGTGCCACCTTTTGGGTGGCTTAATCTTCATCAATCATTGCGTCCCACAGCACCGCTCCTATGCCAGGTAAGTCCATCAAGGGGTCACCATAGCCCGTGCTACTTGGAATTTTTAGTTCCCAGTAGCTGAATCTTAAACTACAACAATATTGCGTCCTATATAGTGTTGGTGTAAAACAGGTGTTAGAATATTGCGAACTTACGGGTTCACCATAGCCCGTGCTACATGGACACTTCGTTCTGAGTAGCTGAATCTAAAACAACAACAACAACAACATACTGCGTCCGCGCAATAGGTTCTATACAAATCCCACAGCTGTAACACACCCGTTTCACCACCTGGCTTGCTTCCCGTTGCCTTTAGAATACGAAACTTTTGGTCAAATAGTACACAATTTGAAACAAAATAGTTCCCCTTGTAAATAATAATAAACCGTTTTCTTTGAATATGGCATCACGAACATTTCCAAAGAAAACCTGTCTGAAGACGGGGGTATACTATTGTATTACTCAAATACCGGCAGCCGTCTCATAATCGAGGGTCCCAGGTTTGATTGCTGTGAGAGCACAGCCACGGGAGACAGAGCACAAATTTCCTTTCACCAGATGGCTCTGTTCACCCAGCAGTGAAATAAGTACCCGGGAGTGAGACAACTGTTGTGGGCTGCATCCTGGGAGAGGTCAGTAGGTGACCTTAGTGGAGGTGACCTCCATTTTCCTTTACCCGGGACAGGATGTCTGTACTTAGACTTATCGAGCCCCCCCCCCCCCCATAGATCAACTTCTGACCCTCCCCAGGATGCAGGGCGCAGCAGTTGTTTCACTCCAGGGTACCTATTTCGCTGCTAGGTGAACAGGAGCATCAGGTGGTAGCCCCTGGGGTCCTGTACAGACTTATGGATTGACGTCCAGTAAATCCTTCCCAGCCAGGATACGAACCCCGGCTGAAACGCGAGGCGAGTGTCTTACCACTTTCTTAGTTTAGTTAATTTATTATGCACCCCATACCCATCTTGTGGCGGTAGTGGAAAGGGTTACAGAGGCACATAATGGGCTCAGGGACTGAACCCCACAATTCATTTAGCTAAGCAAGTTACAATCTTGATGAGCTAGTTACAACGTTCAGTACACATCGTCACATCAACAATGGGCTTGAGATCGACCACAAGTACAGTTTCTAAATTAAGCAACTGACATATGTGGAGAGCTAGTGTCACAATTAATATGTTTTGAAATTGAAATTGAAATAAGTTTATTGAGGTAAAATACACACAAAGGGATGAGGTAGCTCAAGCTATTCTCACCCCGTTCAGTACATCGTGTTAATACATACATAGACACACATCACAAACAATAAACATATTACCAAACAGTCTGAGAGATAAACATATACATTTCCTATTAATATGTTTGTCCTGCACACCGCCCCCCATCCAGTGGGCAGCGGTGGATAGGTTACAATCGCTTAGTTACTACCTACAGTTAGCAAACTGGGGAGATTTGGCTAACGCCGCGGGAACTGCTTAGATTAAACGGCTGTAACGGGACTAGACGTTGAGATGTAAGTCTGGTCCTCACCACACACTCAGACCTTGACAAAACACTCAAGAGAGTGCTAAACACTTGGTGTAAATTCCTTACATAAATTTCACAAATACACAAATGTGGGGTTTTTATCCTATGTTCTTATGTCTGGGAGAAGACATTACCAAGAAATTACAAGAAACATTATTAATTGTTTCAAGCAGAAAATCTCCGTGGTGTAGTGGTAAGACACTCACCTGGCGTTCCGCGAGCGCTATGTCATGGGTTCGTATCCTGGCCGGGAGGATTTCCTGGGCGCAATTCCTTACTGTAGCCTCTGTTTAACGCAACAGTAAAAATGTGTACTTGGATGAAAAAACGATTCTTCGCGGCAGGGATCGTATTCCAGGGACCATAGGATTAAGGACTTGCCCCAAACGCTAACGCGTACTAGTGGCTGTACAAGAATGTAACAACTCTTGTATATATCTCAAAAACAAAAAATAGGACTGTTCATTAACATGACTGTGTGGACGACAGACTCGGGGTTACACACAAACTGTTGTGGAAACACAAACCGAAACTGTCTCTATTTTCCGCTTGTTACAACTTGTAATAAAGTTGTTACATCTTGGCTTAACGTGTTTATGACGTATTTGAACGTTGTTACAACTTGCTATATTGGTTGTTATAACTGGTTAGGAGGTGTTAAAACTTGTTCGAACGTTGTACCAACGTCGTAGTTTCGGTGTGTGTTTGGCGGGTATGCAGTAGTAGTGTTCTTCCTTGGGCACTTCAGCATTGTTCTGACAGTTCCTGCGACGGCGCTGGAACCAATCGTATTGGCGTTTGCCTTTCCATTGGAGACTTTTAGTGCCGTGGAGAGGGGGGAACCTGCTGCTTGGGTAACAGCTTCTTCCTCTGATTTTGATTGTTGCCGTCGAAGGCGGCTAGTTTATTGTGCACCCCATACTCATCCTGTGAGCGGTAGCGCAAAAAGCATTACAGAGGGCACAAAAGGTCTTTATCAGACCTCATCTTAGATTATTACATAAACAATTTCATCTATCCTTCACACCTTATAGTTACAATGTCAGCTAGTTACAGAGAAAGTGCTATTACAAGAGCTATATATTTACAGTAAGTCATCATACATTAATGGTAGGTCTTATCGCTAATACATGATAGTTTGGCCAATGGGGATATTACAAAGTCATAGGGGAGCTTCTGTTTATTATTAGTCCTCACAATACACTACTTGTTTCTTCATCTCATATGAGATACGGGACAGTACGTCACCTTTGTGAGTCGATTTCATTTCAAATTACGTCCAAATTTGGCCATAGCGCGCATACGGGCCAAAAGTGACGTTATTTTTAAGAGGACGGGTTGTGTGTGCTAATGTTTGGTGTAAGGTCGTGTTACTCTGGTGTACGGATTGACTGATCTTCCCGTCTCTGTCCCCACAGGAACCCAAGTCGCAGTAGCAGCAGCGGAGGTGATACGGAGCGCGGCGCCCAAGACACCTCCCTAGTACACCTCCAGCCTCCCGCGGTGAGTAAGCCAGCAGGAGTGGTGGTGGTGAGTAAGCCAGCAGGAGTGGTGGTGAGTAAGCCAGCAGGAGTGGTGGTGGTGAGTAAGCCAGCAGGAGTGGTGGTGGTGAGTACGCCAGCAGGAGGGGTGGTGGTGAGTACGCCAGCAGAAGGGGTGGTGGTGAGTACGCCAGCAGGAGGGGTGGTGGTGAGTAAGCCAGCAGGAGGGGTGGTGGTGAGTGAGCCAGCAGGAGGGGTGGTGGTGAGCCAGCAGGAAGGGTGGTGGTGAGTGAGCCAGCAGGAGGGTTGGTGGTGAGTACGCCGGCAGGAGGGTTGGTGGTGAGTAAGCCAGCAAGAAGGGGGGTGGTGAGTAAGCCAGCAAGAAGGGGGGTGGTGAGTAAGCCAGCAAGAAAGTGGGTGGTGAGTAAGCCAGCAAGAGGGGGGTTGTGAGTAAGCCAGCAAGAAGGGTGGTGGTGAGTAAGCCAGCAAGAAGGGGGTGGTGAGTAAGCCAGCAAGAAGGGGGTGGTGAGTAAGCCAGCAAGAAGGGGGGTGGTTCTATACTCCTCCAAAGTATAAAAAAATGACTATATTATTCCCCACAAGCTTTGCTTTTGTGAGCGATGGCACTGGGAGGAGTGTGTGCAAGTGTCAGAGGAAGCTTAGCCAAGCCTTCTCCAGCTTCTTCAGTCGTCAAGATGAAGAAGCTGGAGAAGCCAATTCACTTTACAGGTGAGTTGGTTCTGCCTCACTGTGACCAATCTGTTCCCGGCATATTATTGATACAGACCACTTTTTTAGAAGGTCCAAAGTAGGAAAGACCCCCTCTTTCTTCCCCCTGTTCCCCCCCTTCTCTCCCCCCTCTTTCCTCTCCCCCCTCTTTCTCTTCCCCTCTCTTTCTTCCCCCTCTCTTTCTTCCCCCTCTTTCTTCCCCCCCCCCTCTTTCTTCCCCCCTCTTTCTTTCCCCCCTCTTTCTTTTCCCCCTCTCTTTCTTCCCCCCCTCTTTTCTTCCCCCCCTCTTTCTTCCCCCCCTCTTTCTTCCCCCCCTCCTTTTCTTCCCCCCCCCTCTTTCTTTCCCCCCCTCTTTCTTCCCCCCCCTCTTTCTTCCCCCCCCTCTTTCTTCCCCCCCCCCTCTTTCTTCCCCCCTCTTTCTTCCCCCCCTCTTTTTCTTCCCCCCTCTTTCTTCCCCCCCTCTTTTCTTCCCCCCCTCTTTCTTCCCCCCCTCTTTCTTCCCCCCCTCTTTCTTCCCCCCCTCTTTCTTCCCCCCCTCTTTCTTCCCCCCCCTTTCTTTCTTCCCCCCTCTTCTTCCCCCCCCTCTTTCTTCCCCCCCTCTTTCTTCCCCCCCCCTCTTTCTTTCCCCCCCTCTTTCTTCCCCCCTTCTTTCTTTCTTCCCCCCCCCCCCTCTTTCTTCCCCCCCCCCTCTTTCTTTCCCCCCCCCTCTTTCTTCCCCCCCTCTTTCTTCCCCCCCTCTTTCTTCCCCCCTCTTTCTTCCCCCCTCTTTCTTCCCCCCCTCTTTCTTCCCCCCCTCTTTATTCCTCTCACAAGGAAGAGGGGGGAAGCTGAAAGTCAAACACGTTTTTTGAGATATAAATACGCACAAAGGGATGAGGTTGCTCAAGCTATGGCATGGCACAGCAGCAGGCATAGACTGTAAATAACTGTTACTATCCATGAACAAAAGTTGTTACAGTGTGTATTGTAGCATCATTTGTGGACTGAAGCATTACTAGTATATTAGCACTGAGCAGTCTCGCGACGTAAACCGAATATTTTTAAGTTTATCCTTGTTGCAGTTACTCGTTTTTTATGACCAATTAGGTTCTTTCATAGAAAACTGATAGTCAGGGGATACTAAATTAGTTTAAGTTTTTTCTTTATTTCTTTATTTTTATCAAAGTAATAATTTATTTAGAGAAAAGTACATACCTTAGATACAAGAACAGAGGAGGATTCCTAGGTAAGACATGTACTATGCCAAAACCCACTAAGATGCAGCGTTTCAGGGTTCAATAGTACAGCTGTGTTCGTTCTCGACTTACAATTCGGAATTCCGGGTTCGAATCCCAGGCAGGACAGAAAGAGTTGGGTGAGTATCCTCTCACCTAATGCATCTGTTCACGTAGCAGTAAATAGATATCCAAGAGTTAAGTCAGCTTACGACAAGCCGCCGGCTTCCTGTCCTCGTTGAGGCCACTGGTGTCAGTAGCTCTCTCGGGTAAATCTACTTTAAATTTTGAGTTTAATTTTTCCCAGAGGGGGGAGTTTATTGGGCAGCGCTACTCATCCTGTGAGTGGACATACCACCATAGCAGCATGTATAACACTCCCCAATAGGAAGAAAACCCACTGGGTTGTTCATCCTGTCACTAAAACTTGTACCCAGACACAGCTGGGACTTGCTTAAATTGTTGTGGGGTTCCATCCTGGAGAAGGTCAGTAGTTTGACCTTGTGGGAGGGAGGGGGGACTTCGATTTAAGTCAAACATGTATATATACACAGGCTGCCTGTACCCCAACACAATAAACTATTATTATTATTATTACTCAAATATTCCTCATACTGTACGTCATTAATCTTGTGCAGCATTATGGCGTATTATTAATAATATTCCCCCAGAGCATCAATGTTTCTATCCAAGCTAAAGCATTTTTGACCTCGACAGAGATGCAGTAATCGACGCCTCACCTCAATAGGACACTCTGACAGCTCCGGCCTTTCTTCGCCGACTGAAGAACGACGTCCTCTCAATAGAATGCAATCTAGCTATCGGACCAATAACCTGCCCTTCAGAGAGCCACCCTCGGAGTTCAGGGTCGGGGAAGCTGTCAGAGACGCGAGCCCCAGGGGACCCCCGAAGACCTCCATATCCATGCCTCACTTCTCTTCAGGTGAGCTGATGCCTTTAGGTGTCTCGGTTACTAATGACTGGGTTATAAAGAAGAAACGGGAGCATGTTTATACTTACCTGTCATTGGTTGAGGGAGGAGTGAAGGTCTAGCTCTGTATCTAATTGAGATTAGATATGACATTATATATATGTATTTAATGACCAGACCACACACTAGAAGGTGAAGGGACGACGACGTTTCGGTCCGTCCTGGACCATTCTCAAGTCGATTGTGACTTCACAATGGACTTGAGAATGGTCCAGGACGGACCGAAACGTCGTCGTCCCTTCACCTTCTAGTGTGTGGTCTGGTCAACTTACTTTAGCCACGTTATTGTGACTCCTCGCCTGTTTATGTATATGACATGTGTATGACGTGTATATGACATTACGGACATTAATGTCCCTTAGTGCCTTGGACATTGTGATCATATCCGCCCCTCTATTCCTTCTGTGGATAGGAATGAATTTTTAGGTAGGAATTTTTTAAGAGCAGGATGGGTGAAAAATTGGGGATGGAGATGATGGATTATTTTTGGTAATAAATAATATATATGGCATGCTATGTCAGAATGACTTCCCACATGATTTAAGATGTAAATATTAAATTCTTGTTTGCAACTGTGAAGGGGCCGCTTACGATTGCAGATGCACCGTATGGCAACATTAGAATTTAAACCGTATTTTCAGGAATTAATTTGGACAAGAGGCTAGTGAGGTGCTTGGGACCTGTGTGACTAATAGGTAATCTGAATGTCGAAGTTAGAGAATTATCCACATGTTTTGTGTGATCCACCAGGTTTAAATGCAAATTATCATTGGATATTGAGGTATATATATATATACAGTACAGTATATACAATGTGGGAAAATCATGTAGTGCAGTGGGGTCATGGCTGAAAGGTCCCGGGTTTGACTCCTGAGGCTTTCCTGACTCTTCTGTTCATCTGCTACTAAATAGGTGGCAAAAAGCTAGGCAACTGTTATGGGTTGCATCCTGGGGGAAGGATAGTAATTGGCCATAGGGGCCCCCTCAGTGAGTCTCCTTAAGTCTTCCTGTTCCAGACTGTGGGAAACCATATCAAATACATATTTTAGGCAAGGATAACAGACAAGTTCACTACTCTGTACAGTACTGTATGAAATATCTTCTAACTAGTAGATAAAGATCGAATTGCATCAATGCATGTGGAGATAAGTATGGTAAAGTTATATTATGGTGTAATCAGTCAACCCATTCCCTTGTTTAGAAAGAACTTTTTGTAACTATGAGCCCAATTAGATAGTAGAATTTGGTACTACAGTATTCACTTTACAGAATCCAAAAAAAATAAAGCAAAAAACAAGCTTAAATATTCCTAGGCCTAGTATAGCACATATATGTACTATATTAGGTCTCAGATAGTGTGTATTAGGCCTAGGAAGGTTAGTTTAGGTTAGGTTGAGTTTTCTTTGCAACGTCAATACAAAAACTTTTCTAGTTTGTCTAAATTCAATAGTACCGATTTCTACCTTCTAATTGCATTTTACATAAATACATCAAATCAAATCCAATCCAATCTAATGTTTATTCTGGTAAAAGTACATACATAGAGGATTAGTTACAAATATAATGTTGGATTTATAGATAAGAGATAGTACATACGATACTTAAAGCCACTAGTACGCATAGCGTTTCGGGCAAGGTGAGGTGGGGAAAAAACACTTGGACTAAAACTTAATAGTAATTGAGCCTAAAGTATAATTGCATTGAAAGAAAAAAAAAATAAAAGCTAAAAAAAGGGGGGGGGGGGGAACATGGTAGAAAATAGCCAATATACAAGTTGGTCAACAAACAGCATTGTTTAAAAATAGTAAGACATGGGTTGACATTTAGGGGTAAGATAGGTTACAATGGAGTTAATTAGGTAGTACTTAGTTTTTAAGCCAAGATGTAACATCTTAAACTGATTGAGAGAGGTACAGCCTTTGACATGATGATGGGAAGGTCATTCCACATTCTGGGTCCCTTGATTTGTAGAGTATTTCTAGTTTGATTAAGTCGTACTCTTGGAATATCAAATAGGTATTGTTTCTGGTGTGGTGCCCATGGGTTCTGTTACAACCTTCTAAGAAGCTTTTAAGGTCAGGATTGACATGACAATTCAGAGTTTTAAATATATAGGGTACACATGAGAAGATGTGCAGTGACTTATTCATATCTAGCATATTCAGAGATTTGAGTAAGGGTACCGAGTGCTGTCTGGGGCCAGAGTTAGATATTGTTCTAACAGAAGCTTTGTGTTGGGTAAATGACGTAAATGATTTTGGGTAGTAGAACCCCAAGCACAAATACCATAGATGAGATAAGGATAGATGAGAGAGTAATAGAGTGTCACCAGGGTTGGGCGAGGTACATAATATCTGATCTTAGAAAGAATGCCAACAGTTTTAGAAACTCTTTTTGCTACAATTAGAATGTGTCCCTGCGAATTCTGCTTGTTATCGATGAGGACACCAAGGAATTTACCATCAACTTTACTACTGATTTGTATATTGTTTAAAGTTGATGGTAAATTCCTTGGTGTCCTCATCGATAACAAGTTCAATTTCCAGGGACACATTCTAAATGTAGCAAAAATGTGTCTAAAACTGTTGGCATTCTTTCTAAGATCAGACATTATGTACCTCGCCCTGCCCTGGTGACGCTCTATTACTCTCTCATCTATCCTTATCTCAACTATGGTATTTGTGCTTGGGGTTCTACTACCCAAAATCATTTACGTCATTTACCCAACACAAAGCTTCTGTTAGAACAATATCTAACTCTGGCCCCAGACAGCACTCGGTACCCTTACTCAAATCTCTGAATATGCTAGATATGAATAAGTCACTGCACATCTTCTCATGTGTACCCTATATATTTAAAACTCTGAATTGTCATGTCAATCCTGACCTTAAAAGCTTCTTAGAAGGTTGTAACAGAACCCATGGGCACCACACCAGAAACAATACCTATTTGATATTCCAAGAGTACGACTTAATCAAACTAGAAATACTCTACAAATCAAGGGACCCAGAATGTGGAATGACCTTCCCAATCATGTCAAAGGCTGTACCTCTCTCAATCAGTTTAAGATGAAAACTAAGTACTACCTAATTAACTCCAGGTAACCTATCTTACCCCTAAATGTCAACCCATGTCTTACTATTTTTAAACAATGCTGTTTGTTGACCAACTTGTATATTGGCTATTTTCTACCATGTTCCCCCCCCTTTTTTTATATATTTTTTTTCCTTTCAATGCAATTTATACTTTAAGCTCAATTACTATTAAGTTTTAGTCTAAGTGGTTTGCTCCCGACCTCATATTGCCCGAAACGCTATGCATACTAGTGGCTTTAGGTATTGTATGTACTAGCTCTATCTATAAATCCAACATTGTTTGTAACTAATCCTCTATGTATGTACTTTTACCTGAATAAACATTTGATTTGATAAATTAAAACATCTAAAAACTACTGTAAAGTAAAAACAAATTACTCTATCATTAAAAAAAAGAAAAAAAGAAGCTACAATTATTACTGCAGAAATCTACTATAAAGAAAAGTTTAACACAGCTGGTATTGCTAGTGTAGATTCCTTCATGCAGTTCAGTTATTGGGAAGAAAGTGACCGTTGCAGTATCAAGGCACTGTCCTTGGATATCTGCCCAGGAGTTCCATACTTATAATGAAGCAATTGAATTATTACAGTGAAACACTAGTTCACATCTCTGCACGCTGTCCAATCCATAAATTGTGAAAAATGTTAATAATCGGGACTATTTCTGGTAAATATTATTATTTATTGAGATGAAAATCTAAATAATTGCAATTGAATTTGCTATCGCAACAATTAAATATTATTAAATATTATTTTACTCATTCGATTTGGGGTAAAACCCCCACAGTGTAACCGAAAACCTGGGGAATAATAGTTATTGACGTAGGCAAATGAAATTATGTAAATTTCAATACAGTATAACCAAACCGTCCCACAATAAGACTTGTCAATAGGTTCCGAGGTGCTTTGGTCAACATCTTTGGCCAATGTTATGCTCATTAGTCACAAGTGAGCACAATATTTTGTTGTTGTTCAGCTGGGAACACATGGCTCAGCGAGGGCAATTTACAGCACTGTCTAATGTATGGTGCATTGTGGCACTTCTTAATGGGTTTGTTTAGTCTCTAGAAAATCACTGTTTAATTCTAAAAAGAACTAAAGCTAACAGTTCTGATAAAATTAGAAAACACTCTGTGGCACATAGGGTGTAGCAACCAGCGTGTTGAAGCTTCTTGATAAGCGAGATAATGGTGGCTCTCCCATCTGCCCATGCGGGTTGTTTGGGAGAAATGTAATTAATTTAGTTTAATAAGTAATTTACTAATATGTTTGTTGATTTTAATAAATGCCATAGCACTAAACTAAAGTACCTTTACTAAATTGTAACTAATACTCTACTATTAAATTTAGGTCAATAACTCTCTTTATCCAGTGTTAATACTGTAGATTACAGGCTGGGACTCATCAGGGGAGTGTCCAGTGGTGCCTATAAGGGGAAGCCTGCTTTGGGAAACTCAATGAGGATATTTATTAAGATAATTCTGTAGATATTTTTCACACCAGCCCCAAAGAGGGTAAAATCCAAAGTGGCTCGTCTTCTCGAGAGTTCTCGAGAGAGAACTCTATCAACATCAGAGGCCCGAGACTGTTCAACACGCTTCCGCTACACATAAGGGGCATAACTGGCAATCCCCTCACAGTGTTCAAGAGAGAACTGGATAAGCACCTCCAAAGGATACCTGATCAACCAGGCTGTGACTCATACGTCAGGCTGCGAGCAGCCGCGTCCAACAGCCTGGTTGATCAGTCCAGCAACCAGGAGGCCTGGTCGACGACCGGGCCGCGGGGACGCTATGCCCCGGAAGCACCTCAAGGTAGGCTCCCCACAACACAGCGAAAGAACCACAGTGAGCCATC